CAGAGTTTTGGAGCGGCCGCCGCAAAAGAACCATCAGCCAATTAAAGAATTTAAAATTTATTCTAAACTGGACAGGAGCCAGTGCAGTGTGGTCATGTTTCCGACCATTAGTAAATAGTAAATATAAGCGAGACGAAAACCACACTGGGCACCTCAAGAATGTCTGAAAGAAGAAGAAGAACTCGGTCTTGTCTCGGTCTTGAAGGCTCTTGGACTCGGTCTTGTCTCGGTCTTAAAGGCTCTTAGACTCGGTCTTGTCTCGGTCTTGTCTCGGTCTTGTCTCGGTCTTGTCTCGGTCTTGAAGACACTTGGACTCGGTCTTGTCTCGGTCTTAAAGGCTCTTAGACTCGGTCTTGTCTCGGTCTCGAAGGCTCTTGGACTCGGTCTTGTCTCGGTCTTAAAGGCTCTTAGACTCGGTCTTGTCTCGGTCTTGAAGGCTCTTGGACTCGGTCTTGTCTCGGTCTTGAAGGCTCTTGGACTCGGTCTTGTCTCGGTCTTGAAGGCTCTTGGACTCGGTCTTGTCTCGGTCTTGTCTCGGTCTTGAAGACACTTGGACTCGGTCTTGTCTCGGTCTTGAAGACACTTGGACTCGGTCTTGTCTCGGTCTTAAAGGCTCTTAGACTCGGTCTTGTCTCGGTCTCGAAGGCTCTTGGACTCGGTCTTGTCTCGGTCTTGTCTCGGTCTTGTCTCGGTCTTGTCTCGGTCTCGAAGTCTGACACTCGACAAGTGATAAAATGGAGATAAATTTATAAAATCGATATATTTGAGCCAAAATATTTGTAAAATACAAATAAATACAGGAAATTACAAAGATGGTCTCAATTTATCTGCTGGAAAATACAACACATGTTTACACACACACACATGTTTACACACACACATTTACACACACACATTTACACACACACATTTACACACACACATTTTGACACATTAAAACATTAACCTGAAGTTGCACAAATCTACATCGCGACACTTCTGGTCGTCGTTGTGAAAAGTGTCGCTCTGGTCTCACTCGAGCGTCGAGCTTTTGTAGCTTTAGTAAAGTCGTCGTGGTCGTTTTGTCCCGTTGAAAAATCACTAATCGTCTTTGTAAACGAAACACAAAACTCCCTGTGAGCTCGCGGCGCCGTGTCCTGTTACCTAATCCGTCTGCCTGATCCGTGCCCCCGACCCCTGACCTCTGACCCCTGCGCTGTGTCTGAGCCTGTGATTAGCCCGTTAGCTCGTTAGCTCGCGTGTGTTTGGGGCTGGACATGTTCAGTGGAGATGAACACGTCTGTGGAGTTTCGAGCTCCACAGCACCAAGGGACCTGAGAGAAGAAGAGGAGAGAGAGAAAGAAGTGAGAGGGAGGGAGAGAAGAAGTAAGGACGGAAGAAGAGGAGAGAGAGGAAGGGTGAGGAGGGGAGGACTGAACCAGGACTAAAGTGTGTGTAGTTGAGAGGAGCAGGTCTGTGTTCTTCTGTCGTTTCATTTTTATTCTCATTGATTCATTTTACACAAAGGTTCAACACTTTCTCCTCCTCCTGTCTCCTCCTCTCCGTCCATTTTCTTCTTCTTCTCTGGGGCTGGGACTCTGCATCAGTCTGACCAGGGACTTTCAGACTTCCTTCACCCCAGACACTTCCTCCAGCTTCTCTGGGAGGACCTGAGGTGTTCCCAGTCCAGTCCAGAGACATCGTCCCTCCAGTGTGTCCTGGGTCTTTCCCTGGGGTCTCCTCCTGGTGGGACATGAACACCTCCTGAGGGACACGTCCAGGAGACATCAGAACAGACGTCCTCCCCTCAGACGCTCCTCTCCACGTGGAGGAGCAGCGGCTCTACTCCGAGCTCCTCACTCTGTCTCTAAGGGAGCACTGGGTGATCTCGATCTCGTCCTTTTGGTCATTACCCAGAGCCTGACCAGAGGTGAGGGGAGGAACTGAAACTGACATTAAATAAAGAGATTTGCCTTTGGGTTCAGCTCCCTCTGTGGCTGAAGGTCAGATGACACGACTACAAAGTCGATCATCGACCTCCTGGTGCCACGTGCACTGATGGACCTGGTGCTGAACATGGTGTTTGTTATGGACAAACTGAAGTCCAGTAACAGAACACCGCTCGAGTTCAGATCAGGGAGGTTGTTCCTCCCAATCTCCCCTCTCCAAGTGTCACTGTCGTTGACCACGTGGGCGTTGAAGTCCCCAGTAGAACAACGGAGTCTCCAGGCGGTGCACTGTCTAGTACCCCTCCCAGGGACTGGCAGAAGGCCGGGTACTCGAGTACTCTGCACTGCTGTTCGGCCCGTAGGCCGACACCACAGTGAGAGACCTGTCCCCGACTTCAACCACCGCCCAGATCTGTGCACCAGCCCCCGGGCTCCTCCCAGAGAGGAGACTCCACAAGAGGACGGCCACACGTCCTTCAGGCTGTGCCCAGCCGGTCCTCCTGTCCTCTCCTGTCTGCTCCTGTCTGCTCCTGTCTGCTCCTGTCTGCTCCTGTCTGCTCCTGTCTGCTCCTGTCTGCTCCTGTCCTCTCCTGTCTGCTCCTGTCTGCTCCTGTCTGCTCCTGTCTACTCCTGTCTGCTCCTGTCCTTCTGTCCTCTGGTTGTAAAGTGATTATTGAACATGTTGGAGTCAGATGGACTCTGCAGGAGTCTGGGTCTGAGCCACACAGATCCTCTCCTCCACCTACACATCCTCCTCTCCTCCTCTCCTCCTCCGCCTCTCCTTCTTTTTTTAGACTGATAAGATTTTAGTTTCTTCTCCTGTTTTAGTCCTGTTTTAGTCCTGGTTTAGTCCTGTTTTAGTCCTGTTTTAGTCCTGGTTTAGTCCTGGTTTAGTCCTGGTTTAGTCCAGGTTCAGTCCAGGTTTAGTCCAGGTTTAGTCCAGGTTCTTCCCGCTCTTCGTCTGCTCTTGCTGCTGATTTAATCCGTTTATATTGAGATGTTAATGAGGCTCCAGCCCCCCCCCCCTCGTCCTCGTGTCCTCGTGCCCAGGGACGGGGCTCCTCTGTGGGCCGTGTCGAGGCGCCGGGGCCCTGGTCCCGTGGAGCCTGACACCTCGTCCATAATTCAACAGGATCAAACTCAAACAGAATATTTAAGCACACGTGTCAGAGCGGAGTGTGTGTGTGTGCGTGTGTGTGTGTGTGTGTGTGTGTGTGTGTGTGTGTGTCCGACCGAATCCGACACAATTAAACTCACACTATTTTCTCGGGCCACACGGAGGATTTTGTTTTTGTTCCTCTAACGGACAAAAAGACACAAGAATCAAACTCAGGAAACAGAGAAAAGAAGGAGCAGATTTTATTCCTCGTGTCTCGTAAAGCGGCAAATTTAAACTGCAGCAAATAACCACAGTCCACAAAACCACCACCAGAATCCAGGGTTTTTGTGTTGTTTAAAAGTAAAAAGGTGAGAGTCGTTCCTCACGTGTGTCTGTTCACGGATCGAGCTGAAGCTGCAGATTCTCCACACTGACTCGACTTCCCCAGGACTTTATCTCCAGACGTTTCTGCTTTAAAAATCCTGGATCATCTGAAGTTTTGTTTCATGTTTCACAAATAATAATCACAGAGTTTGGACTTGTGTCTGAAGTAGAAGTGCAGAGTCGGATCTTTGACGAGAAACGACTGACGAGACAGAGTCCGACCTGAGACCCAACAGAAGTTCTGAAGATTTGTCTGAACTGTCTGGTTCGGTCAAACTTCAGTCAGCCTTCTGTTGGACGACTTTGGTCAGACTTCGGTCAGATTTTGATGAGACTTCGGTTGTATTTCTGTTGTACTTCGGTCAGACTTTGGTCAGATTTCGGTCGGACATTGGTCAAATTTCGGCCAGCCTTCAGTTGGACTACAGTCGGACTTCGGTCAGACTTCGATCATACTTTGGTTGGAATTTTGGTCGGACTTCGGTCGGACTTCGGTCGGACTTCGGTCGGACTTCGGTCGGACTTCGGTCAGACTTCGGTTAGACTTCGATCATACTTCGGTTGGAATTTCTGTCGGACTTCGGTCAGACTTTGGTCAGATTTTAATGAGACTTCGGTCAGACTTTGTTTCTTTGCTCTTTTTAAGTCTTGTTTAGCCCCGACTTTATTTCATGAACTGAAACTGTTTTTCTTCTTCTTCTTTCTCTCTTTTCTCCTGCTCTTCCCTTTTTTCCTGCTTTCTCCATCCCACCTTCTCTTTCTCTCCCTCCCCTTCTCTCCTACACACTCTCTCCTTCCTCCTCCCTCCTCTCTCTCTCTCTCCTCTTCTCTCTCTCCGTCCGTGTTCTGTCGTTCTTGTCCACATTAGTCAAACAGACGTCGGTTCGTTTTGGATCGATCAGAGTCGCTCGTTTGTTACGTCTCCGTTTAAACTAATGCTTTCCTCCCTCTCCCCAGACGCTTCCTCCCTCTGGAACTGTCCTCCCCCTCCTCTTTTCTCTCTCTCTATTTCTATCCCTCCCTCTCTCTCTCTCTCCATCTTTCTCTTTTTTTCTGTCTGATGGTCAGATTTCAGTTTCCACAGAAACATCATTCTCACTTAAATCAAACCAAAGCGCACTCCTCCATTAGGACACAAACATCCATCCCTCGCTCCTCCTCTCTCTCTCTCTCTCTCTCTCTCTCTCTCTCTCTCTCTCTCTCCTGCAGTCTCTCTCTCTCTTCCCTCTCCCCAGACGCTTCTCTCTCTGCTCTGATTCACAGTTAAACCCAAACTCTCCTCCATTAGGACAGAACACGCTGGATCTGTCCCTTTATTTTCATTAAAACACTTTTCTCTCTCTCCCTCCGTCTCTCTACCGCTCCACCCTTTTCTCTCGCTTCCTTTCACTCTCTCCATCTCTCTCTCCCTCTCTCTTTTTCTACCACTAAACCAGGACTAAACCAGGACTAAACCAGGACTAAACCAGGACTAAACCAGGACTGAACCAGGACTGAACCAGGACTTGAGTTTGTGTGTTTTTATTCTAACTCTTTGTGTGTTTGTGTGTGTGTGTGTGTGTGTGTGTGTGTGTGTTTTTTGTGTGCAGGTGTCTGTCGTGTGTGAACGGCTCCTTCCCGTGTCACTGGTGTAAATACCGGCACATGTGCACACAGAACGCACAACACTGCTCTTTCCAGGAGGGACGAGTCAAAGAGTCACAGGTACGACAACTCCACTTTACAACACACAAACACAACTACACAAACACAAACACTCTAACAACACACGAACACACAACTACACAAACACAACTACACAAACACACAAACACACACGAACACACAACTACATAAACTCAACTACACAAACGCACAACCAAACATCTTAATAAATGTGTTTTAACTGTGATCTGAACTAAACCAGGTCTAAACCAGGTCTAAACCAGGACTAAACCAGGACTAAACCAGGACTAAACCGGGTCTAAACCGGGTCTAAACCAGGTCTAAACCGGGTCTAAACCAGGTCTAAACCGGGTCTAAACCGGGTCTAAACCAGGTCTAAACCAGTATGTCTCAGTTTGTGGATTGTGTCTCAGTTTCTTTTTTTCTGGACGTTCTTCATGTGAAGATCAGAACCTCCAGATTCCCTCTGAGCCGCGGAGGCCGAGCCGCAGACGCTGCACTAGCTCTGACTCCGGGGTTCACACAGAGTCCTCCTCTGTCCTCTGTCCTCTGTCCTCTGTCCTCTGTCCTCTGTCCTCTGTCCTCTGTCCTCTGTCCTCTGTCCTCTGTCCTCTGTCCTCTGTCCTCTGTCCTCTGTCCTCTGGCGTCGGTCACGTCCTGTTTCTCTGACCTCTGACCTCTGGCTGCTGTTCTCCTCCGCTCCAGATGGTCGCGCTGATCCTCCACCAGCTCTGAGCCGTGAACAAACTGAGGAGAGAGAGAGAGAAGGAGGGAGAGAGAGAGAGAGAGAGAGAGAGAGAAGGAGAGAGAAGAAGAGAGGACACAGAGAGAGGGAGGAGGAGAGAGAGAGAGAGAGAAAAGAGGGAGAGGAGAAGGAGAGAGAAGAAGAGAGGACACAGAGAGAGAGGAGAGAGAGAGAGAAGGAGAGGTGAGGGAGAAAGAGAGAGAAAGGGACAGAGAGTGAAAGAGAGTGAGAAGAGCGAGTGAGTGAGAGAGAAAGAGAGAGAGAAAGAGAAGGAGAGAGAGAGAGAAGAAAAAGAGAGTGAGTGTGAAGGGCCCTTCTGAGCAGAAAGGAGAGAGAAAGGGAAAGAAGGAGAGAGAAGTGTCCATCTGAGAGAGAGGAGAGAGAGAGAGAGGAGGAGGAGGAGAGAGAGAGAGAGGCATGAAAATCTCTCACCTTTTGGCAAAATTCACAGTTTAAAGTTAAAACATGTGACGTGGTGTCGACTCGATGTGGACGGTTTGGGGGGGACAGGTGCAGTGTTGCTCATCTGGAGCCTGCGGACACACACACACACACACACACACACACACACACACACACACACACACACACACACACACACACACACACACACACACACACACACACACACACAGACACACACACGCACGTCCTGGTGTGTGGTGTGTTCTTGTGTATCACAGGTTCAACTTTTAAAAACGTCCCACCTGTCAATCACTGCTCCTCGTCTTTTCTCTGTCTCCTCCTCAATGTGCTGATACAACAGACAAGACGAAACCTGAAACTAAAAATAATCTATAACCACAGAACAAACCTACAGAAACATTTGGTTTGATAAATGTGCAGAGAATAAATCCCTCTGTAAAAACTAAGAAAATTAAACTTGACAAAAACAGGTTTAAAAATCCTCCACAGTTTCTTCAGTTTCTTCAGTTTTGTGTAAAGTTCCAACTGAAGTTTTCTTAAAGAAGAACTTCTCGAACTGTGAGGAACCAAAAACAGGACAAAGAGTTTTTCAGAGCAAAACAGTTTGATTTATTTTAAGCCTAAATGAACTTTTGAGATATTTGAGCCAAAATAAATGTAAAATACAAATAAAAGTTGAAAATGACAAAGATGGACTTGATCTGGGCTCCATGGACTGTGGTCTTGGTCTCGGACTGGTCTTGGTCTCCGGGCCCCGTGGTCTGGTCTTGATCTTGGTCTTGGACTTGGTCTTGGTCTTGGACTTGGTCTTGGTCTTGGACTTGGTCTTGGTCTTGGACTGGACTTGGTCTTGGTCTTGGTCTGGTTTGTTCTGGTGAATCTTTGTTCTTTTACCCAGGGTCTGGTTTTATTCAGTCCAGTGCCTCCAGTTTGAAAAAACAAAAACAAACAAAAAAACAACACAAGATATCAGTATCGGTATCGATATCGGTATTGTATCAGTATCGAGTATCGAGTCTGTTCCTTAATATGGAAACTTGATCCTGTGAGATTGAGTCTGGTGAATTTTCCTCTAAAAACCTCCTGTTCTGCTTTTCTCAAGGTGTTTTTTTTTTCTTTTTTTTTTTTTTAAACCAAATCTGGATCCTGTTTCTATGGCAACAGCACTTCCTGTCTGAGAAAAAAAAAACAAAAAAAAAACGCTCCTGTATTTTTATTTCATTATTTGAGTTTGTTTCCTGGGAAAATTTCACCGTTTCGAAATTTCTGATCCGTCAAAACGAGAAAAAACGAAAAAACAAAAAACAAAAACGAGGACGAGATTTTCAAAATAAAACTCAGAGGAAAAGTTTTGAAGGAAAGAAAGAAAAGAAAAGAGAGATGAAAATAAACGACAATGAAGAAGAGACAGAGTAGAAAATTATAAAAGAAAGAGAAAGAGAAGAAAAGGAGAGGAAGGTGATGGGAGAGAACAAAAACAAAAGCTGAGAGAAAGAAGTAAAAGAAAAGAGAGAAGGAGGGAAAAAGAGAGAGAGAGAAGAGGAAGAGAGGAGGAGGAGGGAGGGAGGAGAGAACAAAACAACAGATGAAAGAAGAGAAGGAGAAAGGGAGGAGGGGTGGAGAAAAGGAGAGAAGGATGGAAAAGAGAGAGAGGAGAGGAAAAAAAAAAGAGGGAACGGTGGATTGGAGAAAAAGCCGAGAGGGAAGGAAAGAGGAGAGAAAGAAGGAGGGATGGAGAAGAGAGAAAGGAGAGAAAGAGAAAGGGGTGAGGATGCAAGAAAAGGAGGAGAGAGAGGAAATAAAGAAGGACGAGGACAGAGAAGCAAAAGAGGAGGATAGAAAAAGAAAGAAAGAAAGAGAGGGAAGGATACTTACTACAGAAAGAAGGGATAGACGGAGGTGAAGAAACACGCCTCTGTCCTCCTCAGTTTAAATCAGGCTAAAAACGATCACTGCCGAAAAACACACAGACAACTGATGTCTCTTTTACATCTCTCTCTCTCTCTCTCTCTCTCTCTCTCTCTCTCTCTCTCTTCTCTCTCTCTCTCTCTCTCTCTCTCTCTCTCTCTCTCTCTCTCTCTTTCTTTCTCTTCCTTTTTCTCCATTTCTCTCTCTGTCTCTGTCTGTGTCTCTCTCTCTCCTCCTTTCGCTCTTCCTTTTTCTCTCTTTCTCTCTCTTTGATTTTTCTTTCTCTCTCTTCTCTCTCTCTCCTCTCTCTCCCTCTCTCTTCTTTCTGTCTCTCTCTTCTCTCTGTCTCTCTCTTTCTCTTTTTGATTTTTCTATTTCTCTCTCCACCTCTGTCTCTCTGTCTCTGTCTCTTCTCTGTCTCTCTTCTCTTCTCTCTCTCTCTCTCTGTCTCTCTCTTCCTTCTCTCTCTTCTCTCTGTCTCTCTTCTCTCTCTTCTTTCTCTTTCTTCTCTCTGTCTCTCTCTCTCTCTCTCTGTCTCTCTCTCTCTTTCTCTCTCTCTCTCTCTCTCTCTCTGTCTCTCTCTGTCTCTCTCTCTCTCTCTCTCTCTCTCTCTCTCTGTCTCTCTCTGTCTCTCTCTCTCTCTCTCTCTCTCTCTTCTCTCTCTCTCTCTCTCTCTCTCTCTCTCTCTTCTCTCTCTTCTCTCTCTCTCTTCTCTCTCTCTCTCTCTCTCTCTCTTCTCTCTCTCTCTCTCTCTCTCTCTCTCTCTCTCTCTCTCTTCTCTCTCTCTTCTCTCTCTCTTCTCTCTCTCTTCTCTCTTCTCTCTCTCTTCTCTCTCTCTCTCTTCTTCTCTCTCTCTCTCTTCTCTCTCTTCTCTCTCTCTTCTCTCTCTCTCTTCTCTCTCTCTCTCTCTGTCTCTCTCTTCTCTCTGTGAAACTCTCTGTCAGTGTCTCTGACGTCTCTGATCCCAGAAAAGTTCCACAGTGAAGCTTTAAAGTCTGATCTGTCAAATCTCAGATCAGCGACAGGAGCAGAGACAGGAGCAGTGACAGGAGCGGTGACAGGAGCAGAGACAGGAGCAGAGACAGGAGCGGTGACAGGAGCGGTGACAGGAGCAGTGACAGGAGCAGGTGACAGGAGCAGTGCAGCAGTGACAGGAGCAGTGACAGGAGCAGGTGACAGGAGCAGTGACAGGACAGGAGCAGGACAGGAGCGGTGACAGGAGCGGTGACAGGAGCGGTGACAGGAGCAGACAGGTGACAGGAGCAGTGACAGGAGCAGGTGACAGGAGCAGTGACAGGAGCGTGACAGGAGCGGTGACAGGAGCAGGAGCGCGTGACAGGAGCAGTGACAGGAGGAGCAGAGACAGGAGCAGTGACAGGAGCAGGAGCAGGATGACAGGAGCAGGACAGTGACAGGAGCAGTGACAGGAGCAGTGACAGGACAGGAGCAGTGACAGGAGCAGGAGCAGGAGCAGAGACAGGAGCAGGAGCAGGACAGGTGACAGGAGCAGTGACAGGAGCAGAGACAGGAGCAGTGACAGGAGCGGTGACAGGAGCAGTGACAGGAGCAGTGACAGGAGCAGGACAGGAGCAGGTTTGTTTCTCCTGTCAGAGGAACAAAAACACAAAGATTAAAAAAAACAAAAAAAAAGTCACATTTTTGACGTTTTCTTTTTTTCTTTCGAGTGTGAAAGTGTCAGATTGTTGTTGTTGTTGTTGTTTGTTGTTGTTTGTTGTTGTTGTTCCTCCTGGCCTCCGGGCGGCGCCGCTCACAAACTCCAACACAACAACAAAACCAAATCTAAATATAAACAGACACAAGTGGGACACGTTTTTTTTTTTTTTTTTCTGTTTTCATCGTTTCCTGTTTTTATTTTGAATCAGTTTGTGAACGATCGTTTGGAAAATAAAGACGCGCGGTTAAAAAAAAACAACAAAAAAAACCCCCACAAACGTTTAAA